GCACAGGCTCCAGACGCGCAGGCTCAGCGGCCATGGCTCATGGGCCTAGCTGCTCCGCGGCATGTGGGATCCTCCCAGACCAGGGCACAAACCTGTGTCCCCTGCATTAGCAGGCAGATTCTCAACCACTGCGCCACCAGGGAAGCCCTGTGTGAAGTACTTTTATGCTAGAAAACAAGTTGGGGGATTCAGGAGAGTCAGGTGAGTCTTCCAGAAACATCTGATGAAGTATGCTGTGAAGGTGAATTGAGGCAGAAAAGATGTGACCATTCCTTATTGTCACTTAAGTTATATCCTCTCTTCAAAGGGCAGAGAACCAGCAGCGCCTCTCAGATAGGAAGTAGGAACTTTTTGAGCTGCCCTAAAGGGAGTCTGCATTTGAAATGGGAAAAGACAGATATATTTGGCTAAAGGCAGTAGGGTTTTCATATGAGACACAGACTTTGGGGATGTTGATGTTGAGCCTTAAGTCCTCAGAACCGCTGAAGAAATGAGGCTCATATAAGGAGAATAAATGAACAACAAACAACAACAAAGAAGCATCTCCAAAAGATAGGAACAGTGAGTTTTAATATCTGTCCAGTGACAACACTTATAGAATAGCAAGGGCAACAGATGAGATAAGGAAAATAAAACTGGGCTCTGTGCCCAGGAACCTGAACCAACTAAGCCAATCAGTGGCCAGATTTTCGTTACCTTGGAAAATGGATCCAGGTTCTCTCAATGTGTCTGTTTATAGGCATTCTCACACACATATCTCACCAGCACCCTCCCCATTATCGCCTAGTTGAGTTTCCTTTGAAAACTTTTCATCCCAAAGCCTAAGACTACAGAGATCTATCCAAATTTGTACCAGAATAACTAGGAAGATTCAACTGTACTCTAAGTGGTCAGGATGTCCATTTCAGATGTAGTCCAAAAGGCCTGACGTAGCTAGGGCAGATGGAAAGGTGAGGACTCTCTATCCGCTTGCATTGCTCTCTCCACTCTCCTTTCCTTGGCGGAATCCTAATCAGTGTTCAGGACCCACTCAGGTGTTCCCTATTATCTTCTCTCCCTAAACCCCACAGGTAGAGAGAGCTCTGCTTCCATAGCATCTTACGCATGGCACTGATTATGCATTTACTACATTATTTTGTAATGGTCTGCTTGTCCATATTTTTTACTGGAGCATCCACTCCATGATGGGAGAGATAAGATCTTTCCTCTCTGTATCTCCAGCCCCAACACAGTATCTAGAACTGCACTATCCTGTAAGGTAGCCACCAGCCACATGTGGCTATTGAGCATTTGAAATGTGGCTAGTTCAAATTGAGACATGTAAAATACACATCGGGTTTTGTCATATGAATAAGAGAATGTAAAATATCTCCTAAGTTTTTATATTGATTACACATTAAAATGATAATGTTTTGAATATGAGTTAAAATATATTATTAAAATTAATTGTATCTGTTTCTTTTTACTAGTAAAAAGCTTAAAATTATATTTCAATTGGACAGGACTGGTCTAGAACAT